GGGGGGGGGGGTGTAAGCGCGCTCGTATGCCGTAGGTCGATTGAGGTATCACAACTCCTAGACGATATTGTTTCAAAGTTCGACTGCTTCTTGACGACGAAGAGGAAGTGAAAGTAGAGGTCCCCTCTGTTTGGTGCCGGTAGTGCCCAGGTTTTTTCACCGGCACCGTGCCGGGCAGGCGCTATTCAAACTATTCAGAATGGCATGGAAATTCAGTGTGCGTCCGTCGAAAACACCGGCACTCTTCCGGGCTCCGTCACTATCCAGGGACATTAAACGATGGGTTTTAGGAAAGCTCTCGACGAGACGTGCCGGGTTGTGGGGTCCTTCGGGTCGCTTATTCAGCAGCAGCTAAGTCACTTCCGAATCCCCAGATTTCCAAATCCGTAGACCGTTGAACCTCGATTTATTTGCGGCTGAAGGGAAATTTTTGGAAATTGGGATATTGGGAAACCACTGGCGTGGAAAAAATTGGAACGAGTTCCGAAAAACTCAGAGATATGAAAAGTCGGAGTTTGGATATTTGGAAGTCTGAAGCAAAATATAAAAAGTAAAACACCCCTGATTAAATGAACCGCGGCCGGAGGCCGCACCACATCCAATCCTCATGTTTAATTACAGTCATCCCTCGGTCTAGGACACCATTTTTCAGGGCGCTCCCCCAGAGAAGGACAACTCTTTTTTGTCAGGCATGGTAGCTCGCGGAATGTACAACGTTTTGAGGGGTATCAACCTTAAGGAGTTCCCCGACTTAAGGAAACCTGTTGAAACCACAAATCCTGTGCGTCATTAGCGGACGGACGATTGTATCCACTCCCAGCTTGTATTTTTTTTTTCGGTGTTGTCGCCGTTGTGTATTTTCTTTTTTTTACATATATATATATATATTTTATTTCCAGAACGAGAAGGCCGCGAACGCGGACGAGCGACGGCTTGCGAGGTCCAACCAGGAGCTATTGGCCTCTGACCGGGAAGAGAAGGAGGAGGAACATGATGATCAGGTGGAAGAGGTGAGACAGCGCAGCGGCTGATGGCGGCTTTGTTGTTACCGAAAATGACACAAGATAACACACCCCCTGGACCGATTTTCAAAGCTCGATTACTCCACGACGAAGAGGATGCATAAACGAAACGATACATTTTTGGAAAGCTCTCGACGAGACGGTTCCAACGCCGCCGTTTTCGGCGCTGTGACTCTTTCTGTTGTTGAGAAATCGAGATTTGAAAATCGGTCCAGGGGGTGTGTTATCTTGGGTCATTTACGGTATGCGGTGGGTGGTTGTGCTGAAGGTGGTGTTCGTGTCTGTGGATGGCTGTGTTGTATTTGGGCGGCGATTCATTGGTCTTTTGCGGTATTTTGAGAGTCGTCGTTTTGTCAGGAGACATGTACATGTATTTAGCCCGGGCGCCTGTGTTGGTGATGACTATATTCCTTGATGTCAATTTGATCACGTTTTTTTTTTTTGCTTTACTTCCTTGTGGTGACGATTTCTTCTTTTGTGTCGTTTTTTGATGATTCGTTTTTCTTTTCTCGTTTTGGTGACGTTTCTTTTTTTTCTTTTTTGTCGTTGTGATGACTGAAGGTGGCGTGGTGCATGTTGTTGGCCGCGCTATTGCTCTGCGACATTTCCATCAGAAGCGATATTTTTTCAGGAGACAGCAGACGCTGGTCTGGTTTGCTCCCTTCGAAGCAGTGGTATTTGTAATGAAGGCACCATGGTGTCATCGTAAGGTTAGGGGATATCAACGCCGGTGTGCTCTCTTTGTTGCCATTCATCGCCTTGGCTGCTTGACCGAACACTGTCTTTTGTCTTTGGAGCGGTGGTACGGCACGGTTGTGTTTGTATCGTGTAAGCGTAGGTTGTGCGCTTGCTCTCTGTGGTATTGTTGGTGGCCGTGGCCGCGTGACGGCCGCGTCCACCACACACCGTTCCATTCGTCCCAAGTGAACTAACTGCCTTCGCGATGATTTTTTTGTCCATCTGTGAATGCTGTACATGTAGAGGAAGGAGTGTTGTGCCCCTGTCCCGAACCCCCTAACCCCTGTTGAAACCAAGCTATCTATCCACGCGAAGGATACTGTCTTCAGTGGCGTATTTTGATATTTTACTCCTCGACTCCCCCCCCTCTTTGGAGCTTGGGCGGGCGAAGGCCCGGGACATCGCTCCGTCCCGGCTTTGTAGGCATGCAATGTCATATGGTCTAACGAATATAAAACGGCATGCACGACGATGAGTATCCTCCCACCCCCCCGCCGTCCTTTTACGCGTCACGCCCCGCTGGTTCAAAATAGGCCCGCGCAAGATATGTTGCCGAGCAGCAACAAGAACCCAATGCCGCCCACACACAAGCCCCCTCCCCCACGGCTGTGGAGATGGACATCTGTCCTACCGACTCGGACAATGACGACGACGATGACGGCAGAGGCGACGGCGTGAGAGCGGCTTTACGTGCCGGCAAGCTAGCGGAGGAGACGGGTATTGCTAGCGGCAGCGGTAGCGGCGGCGGCGGTGCCGGCGGTGGTGGGGTTGGCGGGAGCGGCTTTAGGCAGCCGGTGTTCGGAGGAGAGGACAACAATAACGCCAACGCTGTCGCAGGGTTTAGGAGGCGGTTGTCTCCGTCGCCGCAGTCGTCGTCGCCGCCGTCGATGCCAGCGGCTGCGGCTGCGGCTGTGGCTGCGGCGGCAGGGGGTGTCGCTGACGATTTTCCCAGGGACGGCGCCGCTGGGGGTCGCGTCGATGGGAGCGACGAGCCGGAGCGGGAGGACGACGGCGGCGCCGGCAGGAGGAGGAAGTTCCGCCAGCCTGTTTTCGACGGTGACGGGGACGACAACCACCATCCCGCTGACGCTGCTGGCGCCGCCGCCGCTTTTTCCGCCGGGTGCTCCGGTCAGTCGGCGGCGGTGGCGACGGCGGCCTTTAGCGGGGACAGCAGCGGCGGTGGCGGCGGCGAGAAGATTACCGCGCTGCCGGAGGCGGTGTCAGACGAGAACGCCGCCCCCGTAGCAGCAGCAGCAGCAGCAGCAGCAGCGGCACCACCCGCCGCCGCCGGCGCTCGACCGCCACTGGCTGGAGTTCTCCGGGAGGCCGGTGCTCCCCCCGGCGTTAGCGGCGGTGTCGGCGAAAATGGAAGGCGTTTCTACGGTGTGGATGGTGATGATGTTCCGAGGGGCAATCCTTCTGGTCGCGGAAACCTTTCCCCCGATGGCGGCGGCGCCGGCGGGTCGGAGAACAACGATGGTGTAGTCGGCGGCGGCGGAAGGTACGGAGAGCCTGCTGTACCGGCCACTGCTGCTGCTGCTGCTGTTGACGCGGCCGCCGCTGCTGCGGCGGCGGGAGGAAACCCTAACAACGCCAGCCTGAGCAATGCCTCCGTGATGTTTGTCAATCCGCGAGAGGCGGAATGCGGAGGAGGAGGAGGGGCGGCGGCGGCGGCGGCGGCGGCGGCGGCGGAAGAGACTGCTGAGGCAAGGGGAGGGCTGCAGAGGAGGCTAACGTTCGGTCACGCGGGGGGAGCGGCGGCGGCGCCGTCCGTCAGAGGGGAGGGAAAGCCTGTTGGTGCTGCTGCTGCTGCTGCTGCTGTTGTCGCTGCCGGTGGGGGTGGTGAAGACACCGCGGAGGAGGCAAAGGTTAGCATGTCGTGTGTTGGAAGACTTGCGTGTTAAGGCGTGTACAATATACGTTTTTTTTGTCTTGGGCGTTATCACTCTAGTAGCAGTATGCGTATTCGAACTGTTTTTCTCAAGCGAATGTAGTGTGAGAATAGTTGTGGGTCAGGGAGGCGGGAGATTTTGTGAAAAAGGCGTAGATAGTACCGTAGGTTGCACGACTCAAGATAACACACCCTCTTTTTTGCCGATGTTCTAAGCTCGACTACGTCGCCCACGAAGATGATGATGCCGAAATCAAACGAAACGTTTCGGAAGCATCTCGACGAGACGGTTCCAACGCCGCCATTTTCGATACCGCCACTGGATTGGATCGAGTCATGAAGATCGATCCAGGGGGTGTGATATCTTGTGTCATATACGGTATTCATGTCTGGAAGGTTTCAGTTGGGCCGTCTTGGCGAGAAAATGCGAGTACGGGGAAATAGCAGACGCAGGGCGTACGCAGACTCTTCTCCTTATCCCTATCCCGGACCCTATCCCAACTTCCCGATTGCCTTCTTTTTTGAACACGTTTGCTTAATCGACAAACCTTGCGACTGCTGCTTTTTCAGTCTGGTGGCGGTCGGCCTGCTTTTTCTCACGCGAAAATATTATTTGGAGGAAGCCACAAACACAACAGACAAGCACATCAACAGCTACAACACTGCCACCAGCGGCAACAGCCAATATACCACAAAAAACATTACACAATAGAAGCATTTTAAACTAAATCCAGAAACAACATTTTTACAACGCAGGACGGAGAGGAGGAAGACATGACGATCAACACCAAGCTCGTGTGGGAAGAGTTTTCGGCGTGGTTCGGCGAAGACGACGAAGAAGACGGGGGAGACGTCGATGGCGCGTTCGGGGAGGAGGGGGGGATGCTGCTACAAGAGCAAGGGTCTAACAAGCGCTGTGAGTGTGGGACGGTAGAGGCTCCTGTTTAGGGCCGGTTGAACAGCAGTGTCGGCGTCCGGTATACCGTATATGACACAAGATAACACACCCCCTGGGCCGATTTTCAAAGCTGCGAAGAGGAAGATGCACAAACGAGGCGATGCTGTCATTATTGTCCCAAGCGCGAAGCGCCGTGAGGTATTCCGCGAGTCGCATGAAGGGTGCGCTGCATCCTGCTAAGGGTGTTCGGCATCTTGTGCTTAATTCCTTGCATGCGCAGCTGTTATGACTTAATTTATTTTCTGGTGCTTTCACTTCCTGAGACAGTTGTAAGCACTGTGTAGCTGCCTCGAGGATGCTTAACCATTTTAACACAGCGTGGTGCGATCATCCCCCTTGCGCGGAGTGAGGGTTCTCCACCCCGCACAACATGATCTACTCGACCACCATTATGGTTACCGCCAAAAAAAAATAAACGGAGGAAAAAAAAAAAAACGGTAACCTGGTTGCCGAGTTCACGAAGTGAATTGGCTTGTTTTACAACGTCGTTGCCAAGCGACGAAAACCCAATCCCGATAGGCAAACACCGGGGGGGGGGGGGTGTACTCATAGTCGTGCATGCCGTAGTCGTTAGACCATTGACCTCGCATCCCTACAAAGCCGCGAAGAGGAAGATGCACAAACGAGGCGATGCTGTCATTATTGTCCCAAGCGCGAAGCGCCGTGAGGTATTCCGCGAGTCGCATGAAGGGTGCGCTGCATCCTGCTAAGGGTGTTCGGCATCTTGTGCTTAATTCCTTGCATGCGCAGCTGTTATGACTTAATTTATTTTCTGGTGCTTTCACTTCCTGAGACAGTTGTAAGCACTGTGTAGCTGCCTCGAGGATGCTTAACCATTTTAACACAGCGTGGTGCGATCATCCCCCTTGCGCGGAGTGAGGGTTCTCCACCCCGCACAACATGATCTACTCGACCACCATT